CATCATCAATCGTGTAGTATGTAGTTCTGCATTGTTACTGCGTACATCATCAATCGTGTAGTATGTAGTTCTGCATTGTTACTGCGTACATCATCAATCGTGTAGTATGTAGTTCTGCATTGTTACTGCGTACATCATCAATCGTGTAGTATGTAGTTCTGCATTGTTACTGCGTACATCATCAATCGTGTAGTATGTAGTTCTGCATTGTTACTGCGTACATCATCAATCGTGTAGTATGTAGTTCTGCATTGTTACTGCGTACATCATCAATCGTGTAGTATGTAGTTCTGCATTGTTACTGCGTACATCATCAATCGTGTAGTATGTAGTTCTGCATTGTTACTGCGTACATCATCAATCGTGTAGTATGTAGTTCTGCATTGTTACTGCGTACATCATCAATCGTGTAGTATGTAGTTCTGCATTGTTACTGCGTACATCATCAATCGTGTAGTATGTAGTTCTGCATTGTTACTGCGTACATCATCAATCGTGTAGTATGTAGTTCTGCATTGTTACTGCGTACATCATCAATCGTGTAGTATGTAGTTCTGCATTGTTACTGCGTACATCATCAATCGTGTAGTATGTAGTTCTGTATTGTTACTGCGTACATCATCAATCGTGTAGTATGTAGTTCTGCATTGTTACTGCGTACATCATCAATCGTGTAGTATGTAGTTCTGCATTGTTACTGCGTACATCATCAATCGTGTAGTATGTAGTTCTGCATTGTTACTGCGTACATCATCAATCGTGTAGTATGTAGTTCTGCATTGTTACTGCGTACATCATCAATCGTGTAGTATGTAGTTCTGCATTGTTACTGCGTACATCATCAATCGTGTAGTATGTAGTTCTGCATTGTTACTGCGTACATCATCAATCGTGTAGTATGTAGTTCTGCATTGTTACTGCGTACATCATCAATCGTGTAGTATGTAGTTCTGCATTGTTACTGCGTACATCATCAATCGTGTAGTATGTAGTTCTGCATTGTTACTGCGTACATCATCAATCGTGTAGTATGTAGTTCTGCATTGTTACTGCGTACATCATCAATCGTGTAGTATGTAGTTCTGCATTGTTACTGCGTACATCATCAATCGTGTAGTATGTAGTTCTGCATTGTTACTGCGTACATCATCAATCGTGTAGTATGTAGTTCTGCATTGTTACTGCGTACATCATCAATCGTGTAGTATGTAGTTCTGCATTGTTACTGCGTACATCATCAATCGTGTAGTATGTAGTTCTGCATTGTTACTGCGTACATCATCAATCGTGTAGTATGTAGTTCTGCATTGTTACTGCGTACATCATCAATCGTGTAGTATGTAGTTCTGCATTGTTACTGCGTACATCATCAATCGTGTAGTATGTAGTTCTGCATTGTTACTGCGTACATCATCAATCGTGTAGTATGTAGTTCTGCATTGTTACTGCGTACATCATCAATCGTGTAGTATGTAGTTCTGCATTGTTACTGCGTACATCATCAATCGTGTAGTATGTAGTTCTGCATTGTTACTGCGTACATCATCAATCGTGTAGTATGTAGTTCTGCATTGTTACTGCGTACATCATCAATCGTGTAGTATGTAGTTCTGCATTGTTACTGCGTACATCATCAATCGTGTAGTATGTAGTTCTGCATTGTTACTGCGTACATCATCAATCGTGTAGTATGTAGTTCTGCATTGTTACTGCGTACATCATCAATCGTGTAGTATGTAGTTCTGCATTGTTACTGCGTACATCATCAATCGTGTAGTATGTAGTTCTGCATTGTTACTGCGTACATCATCAATCGTGTAGTATGTAGTTCTGCATTGTTACTGCGTACATCATCAATCGTGTAGTATGTAGTTCTGCATTGTTACTGCGTACATCATCAATCGTGTAGTATGTAGTTCTGCATTGTTACTGCGTACATCATCAATCGTGTAGTATGTAGTTCTGCATTGTTACTGCGTAGATCATCAATCGTGTAGTATGTAGTTCTGCATTGTTACTGCGTACATCATCAATCGTGTAGTATGTAGTTCTGCATTGTTACTGCGTACATCATCAATCGTGTAGTATGTAGTTCTGCATTGTTACTGCGTACATCATCAATCGTGTAGTATGTAGTTCTGCATTGTTACTGCGTACATCATCAATCGTGTAGTATGTAGTTCTGCATTGTTACTGCGTACATCATCAATCGTGTAGTATGTAGTTCTGCATTGTTACTGCGTACATCATCAATCGTGTAGTATGTAGTTCTGCATTGTTACTGCGTACATCATCAATCGTGTAGTATGTAGTTCTGCATTGTTACTGCGTACATCATCAATCGTGTAGTATGTAGTTCTGCATTGTTACTGCGTACATCATCAATCGTGTAGTATGTAGTTCTGCATTGTTACTGCGTACATCATCAATCGTGTAGTATGTAGTTCTGCATTGTTACTGCGTACATCATCAATCGTGTAGTATGTAGTTCTGCATTGTTACTGCGTACATCATCAATCGTGTAGTATGTAGTTCTGCATTGTTACTGCGTACATCATCAATCGTGTAGTATGTAGTTCTGCATTGTTACTGCGTACATCGTCAATCGTGTAGTATGTAGTTCTGCATTGTTACTGCGTACATCATCAATCGTGTAGTATGTAGTTCTGCATTGTTACTGCGTACATCATCAATCGTGTAGTATGTAGTTCTGCATTGTTACTGCGTACATCATCAATCGTGTAGTATGTAGTTCTGCATTGTTACTGCGTACATCATCAATCGTGTAGTATGTAGTTCTGCATTGTTACTGCGTACATCATCAATCGTGTAGTATGTAGTTCTGCATTGTTACTGCGTACATCATCAATCGTGTAGTATGTAGTTCTGCATTGTTACTGCGTACATCATCAATCGTGTAGTATGTAGTTCTGCATTGTTACTGCGTACATCGTCAATCGTGTAGTATGTAGTTCTGCAGTGTTACTGCGTACATCATCAATCGTGTAGTATGTAGTTCTGCATTGTTACTGCGTACATCATCAATCGTGTAGTATGTAGTTCTGCATTGTTACTGCGTACATCATCAATCGTGTAGTATGTAGTTCTGCATTGTTACTGCGTACATCATCAATCGTGTAGTATGTAGTTCTGCATTGTTACTGCGTACATCATCAATCGTGTAGTATGTAGTTCTGCATTGTTACTGCGTACATCATCAATCGTGTAGTATGTAGTTCTGCATTGTTACTGCGTACATCATCAATCGTGTAGTATGTAGTTCTGCATTGTTACTGCGTACATCATCAATCGTGTAGTATGTAGTTCTGCATTGTTACTGCGTACATCATCAATCGTGTAGTATGTAGTTCTGCATTGTTACTGCGTACATCATCAATCGTGTAGTATGTAGTTCTGCATTGTTACTGCGTACATCATCAATCGTGTAGTATGTAGTTCTGCATTGTTACTGCGTACATCATCAATCGTGTAGTATGTAGTTCTGCATTGTTACTGCGTACATCATCAATCGTGTAGTATGTAGTTCTGCATTGTTACTGCGTACATCATCAATCGTGTAGTATGTAGTTCTGCATTGTTACTGCGTACATCGTCAATCGTGTAGTATGTAGTTCTGCATTGTTACTGCGTACATCATCAATCGTGTAGTATGTAGTTCTGCATTGTTACTGCGTACATCATCAATCGTGTAGTATGTAGTTCTGCATTGTTACTGCGTACATCATCAATCGTGTAGTATGTAGTTCTGCATTGTTACTGCGTACATCATCAATCGTGTAGTATGTAGTTCTGCATTGTTACTGCGTACATCATCAATCGTGTAGTATGTAGTTCTGCATTGTTACTGCGTACATCATCAATCGTGTAGTATGTAGTTCTGCATTGTTACTGCGTACATCATCAATCGTGTAGTATGTAGTTCTGCATTGTTACTGCGTACATCATCAATCGTGTAGTATGTAGTACTAGTTTAGTTGAAGATGACCATAGGCATCCTCTTGAACTGTATCATAAGGAGGATATTTGCCATAGCTGCCACGCTTGGCAAGCGGGTTGGCGACCGCAGTTTTTTTTTTGTCTCGAGTTGTTATTAGGAAGACGTTGCTGCCCGTATCCTGGTTCGTTTCTCTCAGTTGCTTCCTACGACACCCAGGGGAAATAATGGGATAGGGATACTCTACACGGGTAATGGCAATAAGTAGAACATAATACAGTAAATCAGAATAACTCGCATATTTTACGGAAACAGGTATAGACAAAGGTTCTCTTATTCATAGTTAGAATTAGTGATGCCACGAATATTCGGCAACTATTCGGTATTCGGCCTATTCGGCCACTTTTTTGCTATTCGGTATTCGGCCGAATAGTACGTACTATTCGGCCGAATACCGAATAGTAAATCATGTAAAAAAGACACGTTGTTTTACTCAAAATTATGTATTTATTTCCAAATTACAACATTTTAGTAGTTAAAATTAATCAATGGTAAGTTGTGATGGATAAAAACGAGCTTTTCAGCATTTTTTGGTAGCAAATGATTGCGCTTTTCATCGTAAATGTTACCAGCCTCAGAAAATAACATCTCACTATAAACGCTACTTCCAGGCGAAGAAAGATAAACTTTTGCAAATTTCGAAAGGTTCGGGTATTGTTTTTCGTTTGCTGACCATCACTTGTAAGGATCGGCCTTCCGATCTAGGCGAACTGTTTTCAAATAAAAATCCAACTCGTTTTCCACAGCATTCTTCTCCACGTTCTCCTTATCATTAGCAATATTTCCCATATTATCTGCAGCGACTTCTTCAAAGCAGTTCCAGAAACTGTCGTGTATTTCAACTTCAACAGTCCTATCATTTTCATTCAAGTTTCTTTTCTTATGCGCTGGAGAAGAATCGTCATCGGTACTACTTGGTTCATCACAACTTTTTTTAGAGCTTCTAGAAGAATTTTTTGTCTTGCTCTTTCTGCTTGAACCAATCCTAGAAAACTCGTTTTAAAGCGAGGATCCAGAAAAGTAGCAACCAGATATTTGTTTTATCATCGAAGCTGAATCGCCTTTCTAGCTCGGCCTGCAGTGAAGATCTCATTGTGACTAAATTAGGTACTTTCTCAGCTGTCTCTGCTTTTCCCAGATATTTTAATAAAGTTACTGCATGTGGAATCACTTCAGAGATGCAAGAGATACCTGAGCTAGTTATTTTTGTTATTTCTTCGAATGGTTTGAGGAGTTTGATACATTGTTCCAATAGTTCCCATTGAGCATGTGTCAGATTTATTAAAGTTTCACGATCTGTTATGTACAAGGAGTCAGCTCGCTTTTGTTCTAATAATCGCTCCATTAAATAATACGTAGAATTCCAGCGTGTGCTCACATCTTGTACTAGTTGGTGGTTTGGCAAGTTAAGTTCTTGTTGAATAGATTTAAGTTTCTGCTCTGCTAAGTCAGAATGATTAAAATGGGTAACAATTCGTCTCGCAGCAACTATCATCTGTTGTACTTCTGGTTGAGATTGTAGCGAATGATCTATAGCTCGTTGTAGTGAATGAATAAAGCAACTGCCTGAATCATATCCTGCATCTCGCACACCTTTTATCATATTAGAGCCACTATCGTGGACAAGTAAATGGAGCTTGGATTGAGGAATATTCCATCTTTCTGTAATAGCATTGCGTTCTTTTGCAATATTGATACCAGAATGTGAGCCAGGAAATGATTTCATAGCTAAAAACGCCATGTTCCAGAATGAACTTTGGAGATGTCTAGTACTCAGTGAAGCTCAGAAAGCTCTCGTTATTATGCTGGCATGTCCATATATCAGATGTCACTGATAATGCTGCTGCCTGTGAAATACTGGCTTCTATTTTAGCACAAATTCTGTTGTATATATCCGGAACAATTTTCTCGGTCATGTAAGTGCTACCAGGTACTTTATAATGGGGCATCAAAGCGTTTGCCATAAGTCTCTGAAATCCAATTCGTTCCACAAATGACAATGATTCGTTGTCCAAAGCAATCATTTCGCCAATCAAGTAATGATATTTTATTGATTTCGGATCATTAATGTCCCAGAGCAATTTCCTTTCTGATGTTTCCTTCAGGGTGAGCTGCCGTTATTTTGATCTGAACGTTCCAGGTTCTGCTGGCATCTTGGCATCGGTAGAAGAGAAGTATCGCCCATGTTGCTGCCACTTGTCGTTGGAACATTAATTAAAACAGCGTATTGGTTAGCATGTTTGGTTTTAAGATGGTTTTTAAAGAGGTTGTAGGTGTAAATAAAAAAACTGTAATTAATTATAATTAAATAAGTTATTTTATTTCCCTTATCTATCTTATAGAAAATTAAATAAATATAGGTATATTATTTTCACTACAAATTTCATAATATTCCCATATGGGCGATTTTTTATTAACCGGTGTCATTTTATAAGCCTTTATGACGAAAAAACAATTGAAAATTAACTAAGGAACAAATTTCTTAGCAATATAGTAATTAAGTTTCACTTACGTATTATTTATATACTAACAAAGCGCTCCGTGACGCGATTTACTCGCAATTGAAACAAATACAAATAATGTTTGCTTGCACCCCGCCTCGCGCGCGCGCCGTCGTTGCTTGCCGCGCGAACGCAACGAGAAAAGCAGGTTGTGACTTGTCTTTGTCTTATTCCAGCTAACGCGCCCCCACCAAGCATGTACTTCGCGCCGAATATTCGGCGCTTCGGCCGACAGCGTTGCCGAATATTCGGTATTCGGCCAATTCACTATTCGTGGCATCTCTAGTTAGAATTACTAGGTAGATTTTCTGTGAGTTCGTGCGTTTCGAAAACAATAGACATAGACTTCTTTACAGAAATAAACACTTGGACACCCACAGCATGATGTAGGGTCATGGATGTTACTGCGCCACCGCACGCCAATCATATGTTATTGAGTAGTGCAGCCGTGCACGCCTGCAACCAACTCCTAATAAACAAGGCTGCAGATGCGTTATCGCTCCATTCTCTGTAATAAGTTAACATTATACTAGTTATAATACTAGATTGTATGTACCACCATGTTGTATTCTCTTCATGTATTTTTGCCGCTGAGAAATGCAGCTGCAGTTTTATTCAGGGCCCTAAGGGTAAGAAAGACAAAATAATATTATTCCACCACACCATACTAGACTAGGCTCGTCGGGCTCGCCTCGATTCTAAATTGGCTGTGGATGCACATGGATTATACATAAACCAGAGGGTATCATAAAATGAGATTTCCTTAAAGTCTGAAATAATTATTAATAATATAACTTAACATAATACAGAATAATTTAGGAACTAAAATGGCGTCTATTCAGCCCCAATGTTATGGTAACTTTAACGCTGATTTTCAGTACACGCACGAGAAAATAACTAATCATAGGCTCCAACATAAAAATAAAAAGATACACTTATAAAGATTTTAAAAAAAATCAATTAATTACGTGGCCACGTATACTTTTTATAGCTTAAAACTGTAAAATCCTTCAGACTGACACACTTATTTGAGTCTCAAAGTAAGTTGTAAAAATGTATCCATTTCCACAGCTGTCAGTGAATAAATAAAGAGAATCGTAAGTCTAGTTGGCGCGGTTGCGTTGCATCGTGCGCGTGGGCAGCTACAGGTGCTGTCGCGCAACGTACCAGGCCGCGTTGGCGATGAACGTAGGTCTGTAGATGAGCACGTGTCCCGCTGACATTCCTTCCTATACCACATCTCATGTTTCTTAGAAACGCGAGCACGCGTGCATACTGTGAATCTTGAAAAATGATAACATTTGATGCGATAACTCATGTTATCCATGCTTCAACGTAGTGTGGCTGCAATACGAATGAGTCGTCTCGACTGGGGAAGGACCACACTTGCACATAATGCCAGCGTAATATAGTATGGCATGATGCTGCTGTGTTTCGTATGATGTTTGACGAGACCTGGATAAGCTTACTGTTAACGAGACCACAGAATATAGTATATACTGAAATGATTCAGGCTTGAAGGGCGACGACGGGTGATTTATAATCTTAATAAGAGCATAATGTATATATTACCTTAATTTGACTGTGTGTTCGTTTGTAATCTTTATATCTTAAAAAGAAACTTTTTTTAAACTTATTTTTTAATTTGTCATGGGTTGAGTTATCTTTAAATCAATGGCCAATGCCGGCGCAAAGTAGTTCGGTGTCCACGTTAATGTGCGGCGTACTTTGCGCCGGGACTTCTAACATAATATCAAGCACAAGTCCGGTCGTGCGGTGAATATCGTTACCTCTTGTCTATCATTGCTTTTGTTAGCCAATAGTAACCTAGTGCTGGACAAGAGTGTAGGAAGCGTGGCAGTAAACACTACGGTTGGCGGACGGATTTACGATCGCAGGCACTTATGCCGTCGACGTGCATCAGTTATAACATACGGCATATCATGTGGCGCTGCCATGGGTGCTGCAAAGCACTCAAAACGTCGGGAATGTAAAATATAATAATATGTTTAGTAACAAAAATAAATCGGTAATTATTTTGGTGACAGTAACAGGCATAAAAAGGCGTAGTGGCGGTGTCAGAATATCCTTTCATATCGTTCCTTGGCTGTCGGAAAAAGTGACAAAGAGAAACCAACACCAGAAGATAAGCAGTGGCGCCTTCCTGATAACAAGTAAGAACATGACTGCGGTTGCCAGCCCGCCTGCCAAGCGTGGCAACTGTGGCAATCTAAAGGTAGGCCTATGTTCAGCTATGGAATTTTATATACCTACTGTTGTCATGCCGGTGAGAAGTTAGTTTGTATTTGATAAAATTTCATTCAATAAATCTGTGAAATTTTACAGTAAAGATTTTTTTGTAACATTACTAATTAATTAAAAATTATAGATTAAACTTTGATTACAACTTTAAGTTACCTTAAAGGGAGAGTTAATAGGTTCGTTACTTATGTGCAACGGCGCGTGTCCCGCACGCTCGCCCCGTCCACTTTCCCTGGGCAACCGCGTGTAACGTAGAACTTGCCCCGGAGTACTAGCAGTCTGATAGGTAGGTCAGTTCATCTTCTGCGTAAATAGGACTGAAAATTTAAAAAAATATTCCAAGGATGAAGGTAGCCCGTGTTAATTATGAGATCGGGACTTCAAACACCTCAGTACCCGCCGCGTGACCATGGGTGATGTGAAGCACTCGAAATGTCGGGAATTAAAATAAGTAAAAATAAATAAAAGGTTCAATTAAACACGATAAAACGCGTCAAATTAGTTTAAAATATTTTTTTTAAATTAAGGGCAGTTGGCTGCGGTGGTGACGGAAACGTTATGCCGAACTATTACCGCTTAAAGCCCACGGTGATCACCATCAGCGTATACGAGGGTTCCCGTGATCCCCGTTCGGAACGCAACTGGGGTCCTCCAAGCGTTTTGCTCATACACTTATATTAGTAATCTATGGTATTGCTACTCCCGTGTCTTGTATTTTTAAGTTTAGTGATTTTTTTTAATTAACTAAATATAAAAGGCGCTATCAAAATGGGATAGACGACACTTAAGTCAGTTGAAATACTTTTTATGAGCTGCAAAAATTAAATGTTAATAAAAAGCAATACCCGACATTATAGAACTGAAAAGTATAAAATAGTTTCACATTCTGAAGTCGGTACTAAGACTTAGGGACCTTCAAGAAATGAGGTCACTCCTTTTTAAAAGGCCGGCAACGCACCTGTGATTCCCCTGGTGTTGTAGTAGCTAACAGGTGAGCCGCATGCTCACTTGCCCCCTCTTCTATAAAAATAAAAATTGTATGTAGAAGAAATAAAGCCCCGAGACTTCAGGATGTGAAATAATTTTTATGTTTTAATTCTTTAAACTCGGCTTTATTTTTTTTTTAAAGCAAATTTCTTACCCTTTTGAGTGAACTAAGGAATATCAACACTATCCCTTAATTTAGCCACCTCTAGAGATAGAATTATTTCTCCAAACTTATATGGGACCACCGCTAAAGAACCTTTTTAATAAAAAAAATTAAAATCAGTTCACAAGTGATGAAGATATAACGTAACATGCAAAAAAACATACAATCGAATTGATGAAATGAATGAAAACCCCCTTCTTTTATTTAAGTCGGCTTAAAATTTGTGCTATAGAAAAGGTAACCAATAGTTGCATATGTAACATCTACTCGTATGTATATGCGACGGGGCGATTAACCTTTTTTAGTTGAATTTGCCGCCAAAATAAAGAGAAATGTTGCCTTGAATATTTTTCTACTGATATGCAAAAGCGTTCCAAAAAGTAGAATACTGTGAGGTAATTTGACGGGTGCGTGGCGCACAGTAACTTAGCTTAGCGCTTAGCGTATTTTTTTTTATTGCCTACAAATAATTGTTCCGGCTCGGGATATTTGTCCTTGTGAAATTTATTTATGTAAAATGCCTCCACGTTCCAGGAGAAAATCCTAGTGTATTTTTTTAAATTAAGTGTTTTTTTTAAATTTAAGTGGAAATTAAGAATATGTTGTTACCCATTAGGACTAACATGAAAATTGCCTCAAAATCGATTAGGTCTCCGGTTTTCGTCCCTCACAATACGCATGTTACTATAAAATTTATATTTTAAAATACCGGGACGAAAACTTGAGACCTAATCGATATTTTGGCAATTTTCATGTTAGTCCTAATGGGTGACAACATATTTTTACTTTCCACTTCATAATGTAATAATAATGTCTCCAGACCGACTTTCACAGAATTATAGTATAGCGTATGCGCAAACACTCGCATAGGCCGATGTCACGGTAATCCGACGCGACGGGGGAGAGAGAGAGAGAGAGAGAGAGAGAGATCAGGCGCAGGAGCAACGGTTTTACCTGCTTTCCGAAGCACGAGATTGAAACACCGTGTATGTTAATGTTGGGTCTTTATGAGCCACAACGACCACATACCATCCGGAATACGTGCTACTTTGTTATTCTTACATTTGTAAAAAAGTTTATCCTTCATGCTTGTAAGTTGGGAATGAAGTAGTAGAATGGCCCTTCTTATCGCCCGGATGTTCAGGCACCGTGACTCAGTGACACTGATGAATATTTTAGTTACTGGTCTATTTTACTTCGCTGCGTGGGTTTCAGTATTGATAAATATAATATGAAAGAATATACAATTACATTTGTAAAAAGTTTATACTTGATGCTTGTAAGGTGAGGATGGAGTAGTTCACCGGAGCCCATTCTTATCGTACTGATGTTCAGGCAGGCATATAAGACAGGGCAAACGAGCATGCGGCTCACCTGGTGGTAAGTGACTACCGCTACCGGTCCGGAAAAATCGCTGTTGGTAGTCAATACCACAAGGAAGTTGTGCGAGTAAGAAAACTTCTTGTAAATCGCACAGTGGTGGACCGCATATCATCAAGATAGCAAGGATGGTATCGCGAGTTTTGTCGCGATGTGCGGTGGTGAACTTCAGCGGCTGGAAGTAGTCCGAACAATTCCTCTGAGCGCTCCTCGGGGTAGCTGTGATAGAATACGCAGAGAGATGCAGCACCTCTTCGCAGCGCTAGTGAGTGAGTCAAGCCGATCAGAAAGAACTCGGTCGCCGACGACTCGAACCGCTCAGCCCTGGATAGCGATCAATTGGAAGGAGCTGGCACTGGTATGACCCGGCACAGAAATGAGAACAGTTTTCCATGTGAGTTAGTTTTAGTTACTGACCTATTTTCATTAATTGCGTGGGTTTTAGTATTGATAAATAAATGAAAGAATATAAATATAAGTATATAGGTGTTATGTTTCATATTGAGTTAAATTATTTTTATTTAATAATAAACAACTTATTTTTATTTTCCGATGTTGTGTCCTATATATACACTTTGAGGCTGGTACTCTGCTACTGAGATTGTTGTCCTGCCATCTTCCGAGGGTCAAGTGAACTTTTTGGCCCTTCTTACCCGTGGCATTTCCATATTCATATTAAGATACCCAACATGACACAGCACCCTTGAGTTACTAATTTAGGGTAAACAGTAACCAGTTTGTTTATTTACATTTATGCGAGTTGTTATTATACTTATATACCATATAGTGGCTGTGTAAGAATATCCACTACCCCATATCGTCCCGTGGGTGTCGTGAGACGTGACAGAGGGAGATTGAAATTAAAACAGAAGATGGGCAGTAGCATGTTCCTTAATACAACTGAAAATAATATAAGAAGCTGCTGTTGTCTACCCGCACTGAACTTTGATAAAGTCCCCCCCCCCCCAACATGAGGCAAGTTCGTTAGTGGGAGGCCTATGTTCGGCTGTTATTGGACTTTTATGTTATATGCTGTAATGGAATTGAATGCAGGTGTTGTTACTTACGCCAACGAACAGTAACTTCTTTTCTTTACTTAATGAACAAATTACTACACGCGAGCTCCGAACCGGAACAGTATGAACAATTGAGTCACAAAGAACTGTATACAGGAAACGAGTCGTATTGAAAGAATCATGTTTTTTTTTTAAATTAATGTTCGTGATAAGGAAACTATGATAAACAGTCTAACTAATAACAAGTACTGGGGCAGTGTTTTATCGAAAATTCGGCTCCATTAAGCTGCGGAAGTGTGCCGCGGCGGAGAACTCTGGCACGCGATGTGTAGGATTGTCAGCTTGTCATTTTGGAATCGAATATAATTTTATACATAGTAGAGCCATGCTGCAGTTATATTATGGTTGTAGCACGAATAGGTCGGCTCGACTGGGAAGGACCACTCAGGGGTGAAACGCATCTGCATTTTGATTCTTAATCGAGGATAGATGTAGATGTCAATGAGCTTACAGTACTTACCGTCAGGTGGATTGTACGTCAGTTACATATTAAAACAGATTTACATTAGATTAGATAAGTATCAAAAGTTTTGAGTGATATAATATAGCTGTTCCGTAAAAATCGAGGAGGAAGGTATTAAGAACTGAACTCCAATGATTATATTTTTATATAGCGGATTACAATATCTGCAAGTTCAGTGTCTTTACAATTTAATATTTCGTAGGAATTTTTTGATAAAGCTATACTGATAAAGTAGCTGTGAAATCGAAATCGAAACGAAATCGTCCATTATAACATCATCATGGAAGTAATTAAAAAAATCTGAAATCTAATTATTGCACATGAACACATCCAGACACGGAACAATGATTTGCAGGCAACATAAACACTTGTTACGTGAATTGAATCAGCGGGCCGCAGCGCCGAGGCCATTTAGCCATTGTTATTTATTTATTGTTTATTGAAGGAAACACGTAGCATCATGACACTATGCTACCTGCTACCTATGTATGGAAGGTAATGAGCAAGGAATAGTATCAATACCTTGATAATAAATTCTCTCTCATCCTCCACCCTTGTTGCAAGAATTTGCAGTACTTTTGACTACTACCCGTCTGCGTTAAAGGTATATCCAAGAAATATGTCTGTCGCCTGTTCGTGAGTTAGCCGTCAACTATCGAGTGGTATGTTACATAATTTATCAGTCTTATGTTAAAAATATATCTTGTACATTTCATTATACTGACATGCCTCCGTAGATTCCGTAATACGAGAAAGGGCGTGCTGCTGTATAATCCGGCGCGGTGTTATCGCGCAATCATTTTGCACCATACCAGTTGGTAACAACTTGAAACTCATTTAAAAGAAACAATATTTCAGATTTTCGTCAGAGTGAACCTTATTATTTTTAATGAAGTGCATATTAAACTCAGTTGCGGATTTTATTCAAAATGCAATAAATTTAAATCAGTAAATTTTATTTAATTTGTTTACCATTACAATCACATTACACCATCAGAGATCACTGCTGAATATAGGCCTCCCCCATAGAATGCCTCACGGGGAGACATTTGCCATAATTGCCACGCTTGTCACTAAGTCACTGAATTCTTCTCCTGCCGTCGCCGAATCATTACTTAAACAAAATGTAAATTCGTGTACAAAGAATTTTACATTTCATAAAGTGTCATCAAAAGATATTCTAAAATATTTTAAGACTATTGATATTAAGAGAACCGCCAATCTGTGGGGGATTTCTGTTAAAGTTATTGCGTCTATAATAGATGCGATCGCACCTCAACTATCTATTATTTTAATACTAGTATCAAATCTGGTGTGTTTCCTGATTTAATGAAGCATAGTAAAGTAATACCTTTATTTAAATCTGGCAGTACATTGGACCCCGCTAATTTTAGACCTATTTCTGTACTGCCAACACTTAGTAAAATTTTTGAAAAAATTTTTCTTGGACAAATGTTAAATTTTTTTTAATGTAAATAATTTACTTCATAAAAATCAATTCGGTTTCACAAGGGGTCGCTCGACAACTGATGCCGGTGTTGAGCTTATTAAATATATCTTTAATGCATGGGAAAATTCACAAGATGCTTTGGGTATATTCTGTGACCTATCCAAGGCCTTCGATTGTGTTCACCATGAAACATTAATCAGGAAACTTCAACACTACGGTGTAAGAAGTGATGCTCTTAAATTAATTATTTCTGATGTTACTTCATTAATTTTCAAATTAAAACGACAATTATTAAATTACGACGAAGTAAATAATGCTATAGCTAACTTAGTCAATTGGTTTAATGTTAATAATTTGCATTTAGATGGTACTAAAACTAAATGTATGAAATTCGTAACTCCTAATGTCAAACATGTTAATACGAATGTAATTTTAAATGGGGAAGAACTGAGTCTTGTTGATAGCACCATTTTTTTTGGAATCACACTAGACGCAAAGCTTCAATGGCTCCCCCATATATCAAACCTAGCTAACAGGCTTAGTTCTGCAGCATAATATGCTGTAAAAAAGATTAGAACTCTTACCAGTGTTGAAACAGCTAGAATAGTTTACTTTAGCTATTTCTGTAGCATTATGTCGTATGGTATTTTGCTATGGGGACACGCGACTGACACTGAAATTATATTTATTTTACAGAAGAGAGCCATTAGAGCAATATATAATTTGAAACCAAAAGAGTCACTGAGACAAAAATTTAAGGAAATTAATATATTAACTATGGCCTCTCAATACATTTATGAAAATGTAATGTACGTATACAAGAATAAACGTAGTTTTTCAAAAATAAGTGATATTCGTTCTGTAAATACTAGGAACAGACACAAGCTAGTAGTACCAGTTACTCGACTCCACCGAGTCAGTAATTTATTCTTGGGGTGATCTATACGCTTTTACAACAAAATCCCAGAAAATATACAAAATTTGTCATACGCAAAGTTCAAAATTTTATTAAACTAAGTTTGTATAAAAAGGGTTATTATAATATTAAGGAATTTATGGATGATAATAACCCCTGGGAAGGGTGATCACTACCCAGCTATTTCTAATTTGTCTTGTGTTATTAATTGTAAACATGATTGTAAGCTATTATTTGAAAAAAAAAACAATAGTCCCTCTGGGTTTCTTGCTGGTTCTTCCCAGGACAGAGGTTTTTTTGCGAACCAGTGGTAAATGAAAAAATTGACTTTCAACTTTTTATTTTTATTTTAGTCGTTATTAGGAAGACGTTGATGCCCATCGCCTGATTTGTTTCCCGCTGCCGCCTCTTATTACACACACGGGATGATAACGTGGGATAGTTGATATTTATTATTATACTATTATACGTGGTACAGCCATGCTACAGTTATATTAGAAGTATAGTTGTAGCACGAATAGGTCGGCTCGACCGGGGATGAACCACGCTCTCACAGAATACCAGCGTGAAACAGTAGCTTAATGCTACTGTGTTTCGTATGATGAGTGTAGTGAACCGGAAACCCTTTTTACTGGAAACGAGGCATTCCATCTTACAGCCTGGCCACGGGACATTCGCCGTAGCGAAAATTCACGCGGCGAGGCGTCTAGCGACTAAAACAAATGTATAGAAATGTATGGAGCATGCCACGCGTAGCGGCTAGTGGTGACGCGACCGGCGAAATTTACCGGGGGAATCGCGCGGGCGACTGGCGGCGCGGCGGGCGACTGAAACAAATGTATGACTCAGTACGGTGCAAGCCACGGAGTCGAGCGGCAATCGCGGCGGCAGACGCGGCGAATAGTATAGGGAACAAAATATTTTAGTTGTATTCGCCGCGAAAAATGCCTTAAAATTCTATCCGCATTGACTTTTATCTCCAATTCTGGTTGAATATTAACAAGAATATAATCGCAGGTTTCAACACTCATTCTGGTATTTCCTCGAATTTTTTTTCTAGATGCATTCTATTTGGTGTGGAATTCTCCATCTATAACCCGATTCCTATTCAAATCAAGTACTCCGCAATCTCATCCAAATATTATGTCTTGAATCAAAAAACAATTACTTTCTAAGCAATATCGAGATAACTTTGATAAAGACATTTCACTCTCGGCCTATCTGGTCGCGGCGGCAAACGTGACTTCCCGTGGCCCTCAAATCGCGCCTCGCGAATTTTCGCCCCGCCTGTCGCTTCGCCGTTCGCGTCGCCGATTCCCGTGGCCAGGCCGTTAGTCCTCGCGGGTGACAACGCATCTGCATTTTGATTCGTAATCGAGGATAGATGTAGATGTCTATGGGCCACAGCAACCACTTACCATCAGGTGGACTGTGTGCTCGATTGTCACCCTATCCTATAAAAAAAAAAAAAATAAAAAAAAAAAAACTAGAGCTACTGAAATCAATGGCAGCTATATCATTGAACAGTGGTTTAGACCTGTAACAATTTTTTATTTGCCGTACTAACGTTTGTTGCGAACGGTATTCAATCCGTGGACCCACTACGCTCCCAAGTGATCATGGTAATAACTTATATAAATCTCCGCTTTAAATATTTTAATATTCTATACGGCAATATATCGCTCGAACATTACAAGTTTGATGCGACCAAGAAACCCTTTCATTCAGTTGCACCTTTAACTATTTTTGTATAAAATAATGCCTAAGACATGAACGCCCGACTAAAATTATAAAAGGAGGTAATTTTTATGGTAACATTTACATTAAAAGATATCCGATATGGATAGTATTCGCGAAGACTTACAATTAAACGACCAGTTGCAGGCTAAGTGGGCATCGGGCGTTCGGGGCGCGTCCTGACCTACGTAAGTGTTGACCACTTGACCTAGGCACTCGTTTGAGCACTAACGCGGTGTGCGGGCTTTAGTGTTGCTAACTTATGTCTATATGATGCGCGGGAATCGATCGTTAATATCATTTGAATTTAGAACAATATAAAATACTTTATAATTCGTTAAAAATTATATAAGCGCCTCCTATTTTTGGTATAACGCTGTTGTTAGAACATTTGCATTACACAGCTCTTTTTGCATTTGCATTACAATCGCGTAATCATTTATAGGTGCTATAATAAAAAAAATCATAATAAAAATTACTTTTAATTGTGTAGGTGTGTTAACAGCTAGTATGGTTGTAAGTCAAGTGAAGGTGATAGTAACAATCGTAAAATAAGATATAAATATAATATAATATGTTGTACGTGTGTGTGTACCCTGTATGCTTTTACAGTTGCGCCGAAACAGATGACGTTTTATACCTGAAAGCTGTTTGTTATGTTGCTTGGTTTGTTTTTATATTTGTGTAATGCTATTAAAATATATTTCTGGTATGGAAATGTACTATGTGTATATTTAAATCATATTCTTATATTGCGACTAGTGATCAAGTAGTGGTCGAAATTCCGGGATCGTAATTCATTCTTTTTTTTTTGGGTTCGTTGTAATATGTAAAACAAACTGAAAACACACAATAAATACTATCAAAACAATAGTTCACAAGTTATTTTATGCACTATTAATAAATTTGTGTGAAATTTCAGCGTCTAATTAATATTAGATACGTGGACGTCCTTGTTAGTTTTAATTATTTAAGCATGCTCGGCATCTGAGTGTAATCACATTAGTAAGTATAATCTGGGGGCACGGCAGTGCCTCCGCCAAGTCGAGCAAAAAAGCGGCACGGCCGTACTATACTTTTCTCGAAGCAATTCAGGCCATTTTCAACCCCCTATAACTTTGTAGTGGATTAAACTAGAAGCCTGAATTTTCATTAACCAAGTAGGCATTATATAAACACGATATATTTCAAATTTCATCCAATTTGAACCAGTAGCTTAAGAATTATAACTAGTTAAAGTTTCTTAATTTTGTCACTCACTGACTGACCGATCATCAAAACTCTAAGACACTTCTAGCAGACATAGAAGCTTCAAATTTAGAACGCAATTAGTGTTTAGTGTAAAGATCAAGTAAAAACTAAAATATTTTTTAATTTCGGTCCAGTTTTTCTAGATACACCAACTGCATAAATAACTTTGTAATCGTATATGAATATATAGAATTTCAAAGTTATATTTGCAGTAAATGAATCGGTGTACTTGTGTATGTGTACTTGTGTATGTATGTGTATAATAGGTGTAGATAGGTACGTTGTTGGTATTCAAGAAGAAGAAGGTACCGGAAAGGTAAAAAGTAGAACTGTTTTATCTACAAAAAGAAATGAGATGCCATCAAAACATAACTTGTAAAAAAAAACCAAGTCTCCCAACTCAGTTCTTCTACCGTAAAAAGTTGTGAGATCCATGTAATACCAAGTCGGTTAATTTATTCAATCCCTATATATAATTTGTAATTTTTATTAGCTGGTATTGATCGATTAGCGGTTGAAGTGGCAATGGGCCGGCAATAATAGCTCGAGAACCGACAACAACATGGCGGGGAAAGGTTCTCGAGTAGCGGCCTCCTACCGGAAAGCGAAGTGTAGGGCGGCCGCGTTCTCAGAAGCAGCCCGGAGTCAGGAAGTTGGCGGTGTTTTATGTTCGTGCTTCGTGCCTCGGAAAGCACGTAAAGTCAGTGGTCCTGCACCTGTTCTCTTTTAGGTCGTACTGGATAGTCGTCCCATTGGACTATGAAAGTGAGGAAATTGAAAGTGCATATGTGTTTGCGCATACGTTCGGTTATTATAATCCTATTTTGCGCTGATGATGCCTGGTCTCCGTTGAGACTCCTCGTGACAGAAATTCAATCTGAAGGAAATTATTATTACTTTTATATTTTAGCTTGGAAACAACTGTAGATGCCACTATAGATATGAGGAATTCAAAATCAAACCCGGTTTAAATGTTTCACCCTAATCTAAATCTAATTACCGTCAGATATGCTTGTAATGATCTGCCCGATTATTGGAAACCAGCGCAATGTTTGTGACGCAATCGCTCAACCATTGACTTGTATCGATAAACCTGTTACGTTTTAGGATGAGTAATTCATTTATGGGGCAGTGTATACACTTTTACAACAAAATTCTAGAAAATGTTCAGTTTGTCATTTAACAAGTTTAAAAGTTTTAATAAAGAAAAAATTGTACAAAAATGGATATTATAATATAAGGATAAATACATGTATGAAAATAATCCCTCGCTGGGAATAAGGTGATGACCATGGACCATGGAGGACCATGAAAAACCATCATGTTTCATAAATAAAATCCGTATAACACATAACTGTTGAAGTTGTTAGAAATTAATTTGCTTAACTGTGCGTAGTGAAATAAAATAAAGTGTCCTGCTTACTTTGAAGTGCTCCACCCACCCTCTCTCAATTGCGTGGAATATCCCGGTCACCACCAATTCCAGCAACACCACTCCCAAAACCTACACTAGGAATGACACATCATCCTCGATAATACTGCACGTGTTTCGCCTTTCACACGAGGCATCTTCAGGTGACTCTGCGATCGCTTAGCGATCAACTTTAATATAATGGATTTCCGCAAAGTAATGACTGATTCTTGTAATAACATTAACTGTGGCTTGTTTGTTGACAGGGAAGAGGTGCGCAACCACGCCGTGCGGTGGAACGCGCAGTTCTCGTTCGTGTGCAAGATGTGCGCGAACGCGAACACCGGCGTCCTGGAGCCGGCGCTGCTGCGTGTCTCCGTGCGCAAGGAGTGCAAGGGTGAGTCAGCGTAAACATTTCATTTTTCTACTGCACCCACTTGGGGCAACCCATCAATCATATATGGTACTGTAAATGTTGCTGTAATTGCGATGTTTGACTGCCTCGTTGGTGACGTGGTTGTAAGCGCGAATGCTGGTCATGTGTTCTCGGGTCAGGACAAATTTATTGCAGTCCCTTCGGACAATTAAAGTTAGAACACGGGGATAGAGAGTTTTTTTTTTATAATAAAGTTGTCAAACGAGTACACAGTTCACCTGATGGTACCTAAGTAGATGCTGTGGCCCATAGACATCTACGTCTATCCTTGATTAAGTATCAAAATGCAGATGCGCTGTCACCCGTGTGGACCATGATGGAATGGCTTGACTTCAGTAGAGGTTTAGGTTCTCTACACTCACCATATGAAACACAGCGGCATTGAGCTGTATTTTACGCTGGCATTCTGTGAGACTGTGGTTGAACCGACCTATTCGTGCTACAACTAGGTATATTATATACCTGTAGCGTGGCTCTACCACGTATAAATTCCATATATGATGGCCATCAACCATATACGATGGTTCCGTGAGTCCATTACTGCAATTTAAGCTTGACTGACTCGTTGGTTTAGTGATCGTAAGCGCGAAAGCTGATCATTTGGTTCCGAGTTCTAATCCCGGGTCTGGCCAAATTTGTTGACGTTTTGTTCCATCAGACTATAGAGAGAGCACTTGTGCCTCAGGCACTATAATCGTGTTCTCCGCAGAGAGCTAATCTCCGTCAAGACTAGCCGCCGACAAAATTCTGACCGAAATTCGGTGTAGGGGGCATTAGATTGTATTTTCCATTGCTGTATCTTAGGAAACTTATGGCTACCACACGTATTATAATTTTTTTTTATATTGGTTTAATATTTATAAACAAAATAGTTAAGAAAACTTATTGCAAGAAATATGAGCCAAAGGCGGTTTTTAATAAAGTTTTAATCATTAAGTTATGCTAAGTTGTTCGGCTGGTGCTTGGGGCTATAAAACTTGCTCGTGGTTGGCAAAGTCGCACTTGGCGATACTTTTATGCAGTTTTAAGTAGTTTCAAAGTCCATTCTACCTTTTGACTTTGGTGTCGTTTCTTATTTAATAAGGATTCTTTTGAAAGCTTCGTTAAAAGCGTCGCTTCTGTTAAAAGCAGTTATAACAATTAAAATATCTTTGTATATTTTACTTATTCAATATTTTTGTTTTATTGAATTCCACCGACATAATATCTTTTATGATATGTATATAGATATATATGTATATATATCTTGAATGTAACCACAGTATTTAACCCGTCTGCTTGGTTGTGACCCTTTATTTTTGAGAGGGTAATAGATAAATATTTCGAGTGCTCTATGCTCCAATCCGATTTGAGAGTCTTTCTCTCTTAGGCGATATCGTTTTAGTTTTCATCAACCTATATGTTTATTTTTACACATTACGTACAGAGGAAAATTCCTTATCATTATTAAGAAACGCAATTTATTTGTTATATAATATTTTAAATGAAATGCTTAGTTAATATCTTATCAAATAATGTTGGCTGTTGTTGAATGGCAAAAGAGCACACAATCCACCTGATGGTCAGTGGCGAAGCTAGGGCTCCAAACTAGGGCAAGCCCAAGATATGGTTTTGTTGTTTTTAGCAGTTTTATAAAAATACACCGATCTTGATCTGTCTCCACTCTTCAGTTTCATATTCAGTGCTGTCAAGGACGCGTTTAACAAAGCACACATAAGGCATACCTACCGCTAGATAGATTGTATGACATATGCAATTGCATACCTTCGGTGACTTTGAAAAGAACCGTTTGGGTTTGCTTGAGTGAAAGAAAAAGATATTTACATACAATACAATACATGAACAAAAGAAAAGCATGAACAAAGTACAACATGAAGAAGAGCTATGTACAAAATTAAAAAAAGGGACGCCTGGCAAATGTGAAACATCTAAATTATTTTGTTTAAACAGATTACGACAGGAATTAGATATGGTATAGTGATAAGATAAAGCTTTGCAAATTTTATTACCATAAAATAATGACTATTTATTATATAATTATTCATTTTCAATTTTAGTAAACCGTACAAAATTATATTTTTAACTCTTAAATATTAAATTAGCCGACAGCGTGTTTGTGCCATCTAGCGTAATCTTGACGTACCACCTATAGAATTAAGTAGATGACGCTATTAAAATTTTATATACTGAACTGAGAAGATAAAGCTTTAAGGACTAAAGTAAATATTCTTTAAAAACCTCAATACATCTATTCATTTAATTTATTACATTAAAATTTGGGCTTCACATTAAAAATAGGATTGTGTAAAAAAATTATTTGCTATAAAATTAAACTTATACCTAGGTATCTCATATTTTATGCTGAAGTTCAAAATTATATTTTTAACTCATATGGTAATATAAGTATTGAGTTATTAAACCTTTAAACACGCCAAGAATAATTAAACTTTAATACTAAAGAGCCCTGTACCTATTAAAGTATGAAGAAATGTTTATTGAATTAAAATTTCATTTTTAAAGATTTTACCTTTTCCTCGCCGATTAGCACTTTAACACATTTATATTCATCACAAGGAACACTATTATCCTACCATTTTCACTAAAAATCTTTGAAAAAACATAAATTTTTAACAGACACAACAAAAACAAACATTAACATTGAAATGTGAAGTGAACTTGCGTACGTATTACCGTACCCCCACTCGCTAACGCATTTCCAAACAACTTCAGGGCAAAGCACGGCTTTTGGTTCCATAGTAATTGCTATATTAAACATTTCGTAGTTATATTTCTAACATCTACATTAATCCGCAATCATCAATCAAAATGCAGATACGTTGTCATCCCTAAGGACTAAGATGGAATGGCCCGTTTCCCGTACACAGTAGTATTAAGCTACTGTTTATGCTGGTATTCTGTGAGAGCGTGGTCCTTCCCCGGTCGAGCAGAGTTACAACCATAATATAGCTGCAGCATGGCACTTCCACGTACAAAAGCGTGCATGCTTTATTGAAATAAATTTATTTGTGTTGTATATTTTTTTTGTGTTGTATCTGTACTTCTCCTGCTAGGCGTGACGCCGGGAGGGGACCCTTGCGGGCCGCTAAACAAGAAGAAGGCTTTGTGACCAGGCTGTGCTGTAAATTGCAGGTGGCCGCTCGTACCAGAAGCTGGGCTTCTGCGACGTGAACCTGGCGGAGTTGGCGGGAGCGGGCGAGGCGACGCGGCACTGCCTCCTCGAAGGATACGATCTGCGCCACCGTCAAGATAACTCCGTGCTCCGGCTACGCATCAAGATGAACATGATCTCTGGGGACCCGCTCTTTAAAGTGTAAGTGCGACTATTTCCTGATATATCATTGTAGCGTTCAAATTTAATAGTGAAAAATGTATTCAAGGTTTTTTTTGGGTGGCAAAGAAACATACAGTCAAATAGGGTATCCCGTTCTCGACATACGGAATGTTTTGCTGCTATTCCACGCTGTTATATAGTTTTTTACTTACGTCATCAGTGCAGATTGGGGTCGCTTTAATCGCTGTTCAAGTTTGGCATACTTTAGGTTATTGAGACAATCTCGGGTAGCAGGTAGAAAAATAAATAAAAATAATGTGCGATAAAGTCATCATACGTCAGTTATTTTTCCAAATATGCTACCGTTTCGAAGTAATTTTATCTATCAGAAGAAGAAACAAGGAAAGAAACTTGAAAAAAATCTATTTTCGGACGGACGCTACGTTCGGTAATATCCATGGTTCTTTTACTCAGTTTCCACAGTAGTGCAGTTTGAGGTAATAAAACCACATACGATTTGCAAATGAAAAATATTTTCTTTTATTTAATTTTTTATTGAAGTCGGAAATCCATTATAATAAAATAAATATAATTTCTTTGCAAAAGTTGCAAAGAAATTTATATTTTTTTTTTTTCGAATCTTCTGTTGTTTTTTTTGAATACTGATTCTGTTAACGCACCTAACAGGTACCAAAGAGTATTTTTATATATTGTATTTATGACCGAATATTAAATACGTATGTGTAAAGTCTGCCATTACATTAGACTCTTTCCCGTTTAATTACATGTTTACAATTACATGTTTTAAACAGAAAGTGTTATATTTTCGCAGGCCGGAGCGCAAGCAAGAGGTAAAGGAAGGCGGTGCGGACAGCGGCGCGGAGAGTGCGGCTCCGCCCGACGACGACTGCGCCTCCTCCACCGCTAGCTCGGGCTTCGGTTCGCTCACCAACAACAAGGCGCACGGTGAGTACTGCGTACGCACATGCACGCATACACGCGCACGCACCACGCACATTACATACTCGTCATAGCCTCCTGGTCCATTTTCGATTTTTTTAAACAAAAGAACGTCACCTCTACACTAGGTATTTTTCCTGTATGGGGTCAAACAACCCGACCCGGAACAGTTATTCGTCCGGAACAATCGATCCTGTGGATGAGTTTCGTTCGTCTCGCCCAGGGTAGGAATACCAGCGTAAAATAGCAGCTTAATGATGTGTTTCTTATGGTGAGTGTAAAGATCTGGAGATCCTTTTTATTGAAAACGAAGCATTCCAGCTTAGTCCTCAAGGTCACAACGCATCTGCATTTTGATTCTTAATCGAGGTAGATGTAGATGTCTATGGGCCACAGCATCTACTTACCATCAGGTGGATTGTGTGCTCTTTCGTCACCCTTATGTTAAAATATTCCATATATGGTATTTTACCAGGCGGCAGGTCTCCGTTCCTTGACGTCCATCGAGATAGGCACCAACCTCTTATCTAGTTTCGCCGTCAAGCAACAATGTATTTACTATTGTGTTTCGGCTTGAAGGGTATTTAAAGGCAAAATAATTATGCCAGGCCAGAGGCTAAGCCCCTAGGCATCTAAATTTATCATCGATTAAGAAATAAAATGGACATGCGTTGTCGCCTCTGAGGATTTAAATGGAATGCCTCGTTTACAGTGTAAAAGTTCTTCGGTTTTCTATACTCACCATACAAAACACAGCAGTATTAAGCTGCTATTTTACGCTGGTATTCTGTGAGAGCGTGGTCCTTCCCCGGTCGAGCCGATCCAATCGTGCTACTACTATAATATAGCTGCAGCTTGGATCTACCACCTATGTTATCACATCTATCACGGAAGTGCTCATAGGAATTGTTCGGACTAATTGCAGCCGTTAAATTTTACCATCGCACATCGCCAAAAATTCGCAATATCAGCCAAATGGTGATTGGCGGTCCACCACTGTGCGATTTACCACTAGTTTTCTTCCTAACAATCTCCTCCTTGTGGAATTGGCTACTACCAGCGATTTTTCCGGACCGATACGACTCAAGCCTTCAAGAAAAGATTAATATTTTTAGAAGGCTAGCAACGCACCTGCAATTCCCCTAGTGTTGCAGGTGTTCACTGGCGACGGTAGTAACTTACCACCAGGTGAACCGCATGCATGTTTGCCCTCTCTTATATAAAGAGGAAGTTGATGGATGCAGGTGGCTCGGGACCGTGCTTTGTGGCATTCCTTGGTGGAGGCGTGTGTTCAGCAGAAGACCTGTGACGAGCTGTTATGATGATCGTGGTGGTGATATAAAAATATCAGTGTATGATAAATGAAGCTTTTGTGTTTACAGTTTCAGAAGGTGTGCCTCCACCAACGATTACTTCGATAGCGCCCTGCGAGCCGCCGTCGCCGGATCACGACGAGCCTCCTGCTCCTGATAACACAGGTTGGTCTACGTAACCTTCACTGCTGTCCATGAGATCCCATTGGGGTCCATAGGGGTTGGGCCAAATTCAGTTATTGGGTTTTTCTGTCAATAAACTCTCAGTGGCAGTCTGGAGTCAGGAATAAGGTGGTGTTTAACCTCCGTACTGCAAAACGTAAAGTCCTGTGCCTGATCTCTCCCCGGTCGTGTCGGGTTACCCTCCCAGTACACTATGAGTGTGTGGGAATAGGGAGTGCACCTGTGTTCGCGCAAACACTCAGGCACTTTAAGCCTGTCCTGTGCAGAGGACTAGTCTCCGGTGAGGCTGGCCGCCGTGACCGGAATGCGGTCTGGAGGACATTATTACGCTCATAGACACCATTCAATTCGACATCGATAATGGTCAAGCTATTTGAAACACATAGTTGAAGTTTTGGTTTGACTGTATGCTGCTGTAAGACAGCCACACTTAGGGTTGCCACCTTTTTTTTTTCGAACAAATATAGTATTTTTCCCAAAAAGGATACAAAAATACAGTACTTTTACGAAATTTAAAAAAAAAGTACATATTTATTTTTAATATTTATGCCTGGATGTACTCCATACAAATATGAATGTATTTTTCCAAATATATTTGTTATTGCTCTTTACTTTGGTCATCACTGACCTTACCACCTTACCTTCTAATTTACTTTTAAAATAATTATAGGAGTTTGAGCAATTTAGATTCTTATTAAAGTAAATTTACTTTAATAAGAATCTAAAAATTAATTTTTAATTAAATTAATACATACTCTTTTTCTTTCTCCTATCAATTTTTCATTCATGATGGATAAAATTCTTTCCCTTAAACATACTTGTTCCAGACTTCCAGTCACAGTTAATATAACAAAGCGACATTTGAATTAGGGATAATAATATAGTATATTTAAGTACTATATTATTTTTCTATAATATGTAGTACAATTGACTGAAATATAGTACGAATCTATATATTATAGTACTGGTGGCAACCCTAGCCACACCAGAGATTTTGTTTGTAATTCAAATCAAGTTTTAATTAATAAATTTTACCTGATGGTATGTGGCAAACAAGGAAGTCTACAAATACATTCTGTGAGGACCAACATGGAATGCCTCACAGGCTGTAGCTATACTGGCTCTCTATATCCTTCAGACCGGAACACAGCAGGACAGAAATAGGTAAGAGTGTGGTAACGAAGTAGTCGAACTCGTAAGCAGAGGGAGCTTTTAAGAAATACTTATTTTTATTTCTATTTGTCTTATTGTTTACTTAAATATTTAAACGATAATTGACTGCCTCGTTGATCTAGTGGTTGTAGTAGTGGCACTGCTGATCATGAGGTCCTGGGTTCGAATACCGGGTCGGGCCAAAAAATCAGTTATTGAGTTTTTCCGTTAAGAAATTCTCGGTAGCTGCCCGGAGTCAGGAAGTTGGCGGTGTCTCAACCCCGTGCCTTAGACAGCACGTAAAGCCGCTGGTCCTGCGCCTGATCTCTCTCCGGTCGTGTCGGTTTACTGTCCCATCGGATTATGAGAGTGAGGGAGTAGAGAGTGCACCTGTGCTTGTGTGTACACTTGGGCACTATAATCCTGTCCTGCGCCGATGGCTAGTCTCCGTTGAGGCAGGTCGCCGTGACCGAAATTCGGTCTGGAGGACATTATTATTATAATAATTATTTGCTAAAATTCTTTATATTGAAACGACACTTGTTGAAGTTATGTAACAGAAATCACAATTCCATTATCTTGTAAAATTTAAAGACGTTAAAAGAAATCCATTGTTCTGAATATATATCATCGTTTGTCTGTAAGATAAGATTAGATTAGATTTTAGATTTCGTAGTTTTATGCAAGTTTGTTGCCTAATCATTTATGTTAATTATTTACAGTGATTGCGGCGGGCGTGACGTCATGCGCGTCGTGTCAACAGCACACGCACTCGCGCAACTCTTCAAACACATCGGGCGATATGAGTAGCAAGGTGATGTTATTTTCTCTGTAATTTTTAGGCTTTATTTGAACACCAAGTTCAAATTCTTATTCAACAAGGCATTTTCTACCAATCTACCTTCAGGCTAAGCAGAATAGATATTATGAGTGCAAAGTGCAAAGAACTACGTTTAAAAATATCTAAGTCCACATAATATGTATATGCATTATAAGTACGAATTTAAAAGCTATATTAGAATGGAAAACCACAAACTACTTCGACAATGTAAGAAAATGATTCCAGAGCAAGCGTTTGAACAATCCATGCCTGTGGTTGCGCATATAATGTTTGGTAATCCGTTCCATAATCTTACTGCATGAGGAGTAAAAGATTTGTACAAAAGGCTAGTGTTACATAGGGAGCATTTATATTAGAATTTTCCGCATGAATTTCCTAAATGACAAATGAAGAGCCAGTAATATGGCCTTTCGAGACGGACTTAAAACTTAAACTAGGCTTTCTTTAAGAACTTACGTATGACAAAAACAACATGGAAATTAATAATAATATACTTTGTTGTGCCTTACTATGTGACAATTTTTTATGAATAAAAGTATATAGTATTATTGGATCGCGACTTGAAAAAAATTAACTTTTAATTTTAAATGTTCTTAACAAACGATTGTTGTCATCAAACCCTTCTGAGTTATCTAAGAAATATTATAATCTCAATATCGTCTATACATTAATAACTTCACTACCTATTTTGCAACAGCAATGTTTTTTCAAATTTATGTGGGACCACCCCTGAAGTAACCTATTGAAAAAAATGAACCATCAATGTTAGTTCAATTTTGACGAAGATATGGCGTAAAATACATTACAAAAAACATACAGTCGAATTTTAAATCTTTTTTTTTTGAAGTTGGTTAAGAAGTTTCGTTAATTTTTTTGAAATGAAAGCCTATAATCGCCGTACGGTGCTGATTTAATATTATGACGCCATCGCAAGAGGTGATTCAGGGCACACTGGGAAGCTTTGACCTCTTCATTACGAAGAAAGCTCATGTCCAAACAAATGAGCACACAGTCCATCTGATGACAAGTGGATGCTGTAGCCCATAGAGATATATATATATATATATATCCTCGATTAAGAATCCAAAAGCAGATGCTTTGCAACCCCTTGCGGACTAAGATGGAATGCCTTGTTTCTAGTAAAAAGGTTCTCGGGTTTCCTACACTCACCATACGAAATACACCAGCAATGAGTTGCTATTTTACTCCGGTCGAGCCGACCCTATCGTGCTACAAGCACAATATGTTGTGGGATGTGGAACAAGGGATGCGAATGTGTATTTGATCGTTGTGTACAGGCGTCAGGGTACGGCAGCTCGGTTTCGGCCGCGTCGGCGCACTCGCGGCAGAGCTCCGAGGGCGAGTTCGCCGCGGACGCGCGCCCCCACCACAACAGGTACGACCTCCCCTCGCTTCTGGGACGAACGAGGAAAGAGCAAACAAGTACCGCATGCGTCACCCAAGATTCAACACGAATGACTTGAGGTTCGGTGGGTTTTCACTCTCCCTACTCTTCACCAACCTCTATAAATTCACTATTGTGGAACGACGTTTTCGAACTGAGTCAAGTAAAGATATGGGGCTTGTAAATCTTGTACATACCCCACTGGGTATGCGGAATGGTTTTGGGCGAACACTCTGAATTCTACTGCCCTACAGATGAGTTTGTTTTAACCTAACCTAGCAGCATCTCTGAAAATTACGGACCAGAGGAGTAAGACAATTATAACATTCATTCTTGTCTGTTTGTCTCTTGTATTCGAATCCAGGATCCTTGAGTAAATATAGTTTGGAAGTATTTTTGAATATATATCAATCTCTATTATATTTATTTTTGATTATTTTGTGCACTTTCTATGGTTTTGTATTTTACTCTAATATTTTTTTTTGATACTTTATTTCGAATCAATTGTTAATTTGTTTTTATTGATTTGTTCCTTTAAGTTTGGTTGATGAATAGAGTTGGTTTTATTACTATCGGGTGTGAATGAAGTGAGGGAAGTGCATTTGCAAAGGTGCTTGGTGGACGTTTTCGGTTGTCGACGCAACCTTCAACCTGTACAAAGATCTAGAGTTCCGCTTTTTTTTTTTAACAAACTTTGTTCCGCACGTTACTAACGTACGACTGGACGGTGTATTTATTTCGCTTTATTAATTTATTTTTGTTTATCCCCCCCCACCTCTCACTTCCCGGTCCCCTTTGCACTGATCCTTAGCGTGCGCTGCGAGCGTACAACCACCAGTACCACTACCGCCACCACATTGTACGTCCCCACCCAAAGCTGTAAGCACACGGGCCGAGCGCTCAGCAAGTTGCTGCTGGAGAAGACGGTGGTGAGCGAGACTTCGGATGTATTCCTCACTCCTAACACCACCCTCACGGGCCCCCCTGACGTCATCCCGCGCAACGAGATCCAGTCCCCGGCAAGCGAAGAGTACCGCACTCCGGAGACGACAATCCTCGAAAACACATTCACCATGCCGACCTACTTCGACCAGAAGAAGCGAGCCGCTGCCATCGTTAGTCCAGCAGTCCAACCTCTCACGAATTTCCAAGTCTTAAAGCAAAAATCTCTGAACACAATCCCCGCGTTGCTCGAGAAGAACAAGAAAAACGAGGAGCTGTTTACCAACTTCCCATTTTTGACGCCCCTCGCACATAGAAAGAATTCGCTGATTTCCAACGCGAATAGACTGTCAGGGTGTATAGAAGACGAGTTCTACTGCATTCCGTCGGACCCAGAAGTGGATACGGAAGTAGTCGAGAGGATAGACGTACGCCATCGGTTCCGCAGCATCTCCAATCAGGCGCTGACCGACGAAGTGCACACTTCCACGCCAAAGAACGAGAGTAACACAGAATGTATGCAAAGGGGTAACTTCAAGTGTGAGCGGGGCCGTAAGGTGGAGCTGTTGCGGCACAGCTACACGGACTATACGAGGTGAGTGCTGCCCGTGTGCCGCTTGCTTCCTCTAACCGCCCACCGCCCACCCTCAACCCCTTCCTCCCTCATTTACACCCTTCCGCTAGAGTAATGTCCGCCGCGTACTAATACCGGGTGTGGGTTTTACTTGGTGGTGATTTCTTAGTCCTCTGTTTGTTTTTGGTTTTTCTGTTTCCTTTGTTTTGGTTTATTTTTTTATCAATATGATAAATTTCTATGTATTTAATGGTGTTGGTGGGTGATATTGGTATAAAGTAAATGCATAACTTTATGTTCCAGTATTTTTTTTAAGTTAGTTCCATAACATATAAACTATGAAGTTATTATGTTTTTTAATGTTTTAAGTAATTTAATAATGTCTATAAAAGTTCTTGATTCTGGTGTATATAATCTATCAAAACCGTAAAGTAGAAACTTGCACTCGATTCACTAAATTCGTTTACCGAACTCAATTTTAAATAACTTATCATGTTGTTATTAAGTGAATATAAATGATTTTCTGAATCAAATTTATTTAGAAAAATAATACGTCGCTGTTTTCGACCTTACCAGCTTTGATTTTAATGTGTGTATTGTTTAAAAATAAACTGTACCTGGTCGAAATGGCCCGGGGGGATACGACCTCCGTTCCAGCGGTTGTCGGATGGGTGTGGCGGGTGTACATGAGTGTACATAAGGGTACATGAGAGTTCATGAGTGTAGATGAGTGTACCACGTGCACTGTGTGTGTAGGCGCGAGGCGGGCGAGTGTGCGGCGTGCGGCTCGCGGCGAGACGGCTCGCTGCCGCGCCGCGCCTCCGCGCGGTCAGTGCCACTGCCACGCCGCTGCCACTGCTACTGCCACTGCCACTGCCACTGCCAACATACAAACTCTGCACACGAACACATCATACACTTACGCCATATCTATATGCCCATGTTCATAAACACTCAAAAATATACATGTATACTATAAGACTGGTCTATGTATACTATTAGAGGGGTAATTCAGGAAAAAACTGTGTCATAGCTGTGGATCGCGCGGGCGTTTTAGAGCGGTTAGCTGGCACTCTAAACACGCCACACGGTTGTGTTTTCATTTACAACAGTTATGATTATATATATGTTTTTAGGTAACAACGAAATAACGGTGACAAGGTGTGCATGTAAATAGTTATTATTTGCTTCGTTATGTTAAACAAAGTCAACGTTCGCGATTTACAAAACAAATAAACTAATCTTCTTTTGTCGATTGCAAGCAGTCGAGAAGTTAGGGAGCATTGAACATCTTAGTGCGCAATGTATTAGTATCGTAGTGCCGGTCTAGTAGTATATATAGAAGTCTTTGTTTCTTCTTTATTTGACCCTAAATTTTAACTGACTACTTAGAAAATTCCTTTCTCCCATATATTCAAAAAAATATGTAACTACATATATGGCGGCAATTATACGGATCCATGGAGCAGTGGATTAGCAATGAGTTTGAGATTAGTAAACGCTTGGGGCTGCAGGTTCGAATCTGTATTTGTATGGCCAAAAATGTGATTGTTCCGGCTCTGAATATTTGTCCTTGTGTAATTTATAGAATAAACTGCCTCCATGATACAGGAAAAAATCTTAGTGTGGAGGTAAAGTATTAAATATATATATATATAAAACATTACCTCCATATATAGATATTGAGAATTCATCAAGCTATTCCGTGCCGTGGGTGTCGTAAGTGGTGACTATAGGATACGTCAAAACAATATATCCCATAGTCATATACACCATAGTCTCGTTCAAGCCAGGCGTGGAATACCTGGACCGACGACGGGAAACAGCATCAATGGTTAGTAACGTCTGTTAGTGCGATAGTGATCCGCCTGCCGAGCATGGAGATTAAGACAAAGCCTGTGTACAGTGTCGGGGCCCATGGACATCCGTGCATTATTGCCGCCCGATGAAGAACTGACCTTACGCCGAATGAACCGCAATTTACCACGTGTTCAAACCTTTTGGTTTGCTTCATAGTTCCTTATGTGTACAGCGAATAAGTGGAATAAGTTGCCAGCATCTGCCTTTCCATCTGATTACAATGTGGTCGTTTTCAAGGCAACATTGAAGGCTTTTGTTCACTCAGTGCGCTTTACCATCTTCGACTAACAAAAGAAAATTGTGTATCTGATACCAGAATCATCAACTGCCACTTTCACATACGTAACTCCCAATTTCTCACACAATGGCATTTATATGAGTCTGATATTTACACTTGCTTTCGAACTCACTCTCGTAATCACACTTACATTTATATAGAGTTATAAATCTCGCATATTCATATGGAAAATGATCATTGTTATGCCCGTGTCTACAATCACATTGATATGCCCTGCATTCAAAGGAATCCTAAAAAAGCACTCCAATAATAAGACCCTTGTCTTCATCTACATAAAATCATATCTAAAAATGCATTATATACACATTTTTTACAAGTAATTTTCAAATTGCTGTAAGTAGGTAAATAATAGTGTGACTACAAAAACCAATAAGGTCAAAATTCGGAGAACAACAATGAGGGCGAACTTCCACGACTTTTTGCTACTATGTAAACGCTACTCACACGTCTTTGGTTAATTTTGTTCTAGACCCGCCGACCATTTAATTGTAGCTTCAGAATATCCATATGAAGCGCTATATTTTATATTATCGTTGCGAAATAAATGGTAGTAACACAAATCTTGTCATACACATATCCTCAACTTCAAAACTTAAATTATATTCACACTAATCTTATGATATATACGACGGCGGCACTGAAAATTTCGGGAATCAAGGAAATGACACAACATTACTATTTAAAAATGTATTTATTGCTTTTCGAAGTATTCTCCGCGAAATTTGATACATTTTTCCATACGATGGAATTGAAGCAATCATTCCATTCGGAAGTTGGGGTCTCCAAAATGGCCGTTTTGTAGGCGTCCACAGCTTCTTCAGATGATGAAAATCTCTGTCAGTATAGTCTCTGAAAGTATAGAAATCATTAGGGCTTAGGTCGGGGCTGTACGGCGGATGGTCTAATAATTCTATGTTTTCTTGCTCTAAAAACTCTTTTGTTCTATGTGCGGTGTGAGAACTCGCATTGTCGTGATGGAGGATGATGCGGCGGTTGCAGTTCTCTTTACGGAGTTCAGAAACGACCAGTGGCAAACAAATGCTAGCATACCATTCTGCATTAACCGTTCTTTGTCCCTCAAGAGGAATAGTCGTAACATGGCCGGTTTTGGAGACAAACGTAGCCACCATGTTTTTTTGCAACACTCCGTGAACGAACAATTTTTGTTGGCTTTAACTCATTTTCGAACACCCAAACTCGTGACTGGTTTTCTGTTTCGGGTTCGTACGCGTATATCCAGGATTCGTCACCCGATACGATGTTGTATACCGCGTTTGAAGGGAATCTATAGCTTAAAGGTAATGGGAAAACACTTTTTACACTTAATTGTTCATGCAAGATTACTTGTATTTGACTAGCAAGAAAGTTGTGAATTTGGTTTGTCGATCTTCCTCAATCAGCTTACGTACAGCATCAACGTTTTCTTGGGTGACTGCAGTTTATGGACGACCTGACGGGGAACATCACTGAGCTTGACACGTCCACGTTGAAATTCAGCAAACCAGCGATAAATTATGGATTAAATTGTGACAAGACCGAGAATCTTTTTTAAATAAATAAATGGTATTCGATTTTTAAAACCAAGGAGTTTTCAATTAAAAATATTTTAATATGACAGGAACAGTGGAAATATTCCATTCCCGATACTTTTAGTGCGGCCTAGTACACATATCCTCAAACTTCAAAACTTAAATTATATTCACTTCAAAACTTAAATTATATTCACACTAATCTTGTGATAGATACACATATCCTCAAACTTCAAAACTTAAATTATATTCACACTAATCTTATGATATATACACATCAATCCTCAAACTTCAAAACTTAAATTATATTCATACTAATCTTGTTATATATACACATATCCTCAAACTTCAAAACTTAAATTATATTCACACTAATCTTATGATATATACACATAATCCTCAAACTTCAAAACTTAAATTATATTCACACTTATCTTGTTATTTATACACATATCCTCAAACTTCAAAACTTAAATTATATTCACACTAATCTTATGATATATACACATATCCTCAAACTTCAAAACTTAAGTTATATTCACACTAATCTTGTGATTGATACACATATCCTCAAACTTCAAAACTTAAATTATTCATTCACACTAATCTTATGATAGATATACTACACATATCCTCAAACTTCAAAACTTAAATTATATTCACACTAATCTTGTGATAGAAACACATATCCTCAAACTTCAAAACTTAAGTTATATTCACACTCATCTTGTGATTGATACACATATCCTCAAACTTCAAAACTTAAATTATATTCACACTAATCTTATGATAGATATATTACACATATCCTCAAACTTCAAAACTTAAATTATATTCACACTAATCTTGTGATAGATACACATATCCTCAAACTTCAAAACTTTTACACTTGTCACAGTCAACCAGCGCGCAGTGCAGCGACACCGACGTTACGTTTGTTTTAGATGTCGTTCGTGTCGGCGTTGCTTAGTCAGGCTTTAGATGTTTTCTCCTATTCAAATTCTTTTGCTGTAGCCGCCATTTTTTATTTTATGTTTTAATTTAAAAATTTATTGCAAAGGTTTTATTGATATATAAATGTAGGATTAGAAAACTTTTCTATTTAAATAACTCTTGTATGCCATTACTGGATGCATTTATGGATCAAGTGATTAATCAAGGTACTGTTTATAATGCCCACGGCAATATGAATAGTGACAAGTCAAATCAGGCTACGTAATTAGTACTTTCATAACCTAACCTATTTTTTTAATACTCTGGCCAATAAGTAATGGATTATATTCATAAAACCTGGTCTTTGATTCTGTCTGGACATTATGAATAATGCCCTATGAATCACGTGATCCCAAAACATACACAATGTGTTTAGAATTCCCAAAAGATGGTGATTGTAAATATGTAATAAAATGTTCATATGTTAACATTTAGTTAAAACAAATATATTATTTATTTAAGGAAATGATTATTTATAGAGTATGCATTTAGGAAATGATTATTATCCTAAGCACATTGTGTGGTATTCATGAACTAATATTAATGATATATTTCTCTTTGCATGGCTTTGAATATAGTGTGCATGGGTGAAATTATTATATTTATGTATATTATATATGGGCTGTAAAAATATGAAAAGGTATTATTTGGATTCATGTTGTTAGATGTTGTTTGTTTAGTATATTATTTAAAAATAAGTAAATTAATTGTTGGTAGAGAAAATAGAAAATATTACAATTAAAAAAAATGTGACCTTATTTTATGCGAAGTTGTAATTTTAGCAGTATGACATTTAGGTTGTTAATAGAATAGAATATTTTTTATTGAATATTGATCGCAAGAATACTTATGGAAAGTCATTAATGCTTTTACGATATGGAAATAATAAATAAATAAAATGTTGTTCTGGATAGTTAAAAATCAACGAGACCGCGCACCATTACTTTCTTTGATTATAAAAATATTCAAGAGCACTTTTCGTGTTGATTTATAAAATTAAAATACCGTGCATAAGTGATTGACCTAAAAAATTACGTGTGTTGATAGAAGTAATAGAATGTTTATAATGCACGCTTGTAGAGTGGAGCGCGCGTTCGTGGATAGAAGTATAGAATATAGTGGTAATAAATAGAATCAAGCATTACTTTGAGGAAATTCATTATATTAAAAATGTGATGTAAAAATTAATGAGCTAAGATCCGTGTCCGTGTCTATATTATATGTAATAAAATGGCATCATGCCTAGTTTGGAGAGCGTTACCTGATGTATTTTAATTAGGCAATGATATTATAATTTATTATGTTTACGCTAACACTACCTTGAAACTACTTATAATAATTTTGAACTAAATGTAGTCGTGGTTAACTATGACATTGGGACATCGAATACCTAAGGCCTTCCGTGACTATGGATGCTGTAAAAAGTAAACGCGATGAAATCCGTAATAACTAGTTTTATTTAAATAACCAATGATGGTGTACGCAGTTGCGGGAGGACAAAAGGTAATTTCATGTTTGATTTCCTTTTCTTAGATCTTTGTCTGGGTCTGTACCCTCCTACCCACTTGTGTTCGCAAGCACAGCAGCGACACATGCACTGGTGTGAACGCATGAGAGTTGTCTGAAGGGTACAGACAGAGAGAGGTTTAATGAAACGTTTTGAGGCATTCCATTTTGGTTCTCGGAAGTGACAACGCATTCGAGTGTTTGAAATTGGTTGTAGAGTTCCATGAGCCAAGTACGATCAGGATAAGCTTGTATGCCACACCAATTTTATAATATAACGTTAGACTTTAGAAATACCACGCACAACGAAAACACGCATCGGTCCTAAGCTGATTATTTTATTTTATCTTGTTGATCCTAGTTAGGATACTAGGATGAAGTTATTAAATTATGTATGTCATCGGTCCTTGATACGAGTGCAAATATCAAGTCATTCGGCCGTCTTTAAGTTGGTGGAAATTACATTAAAATATTCCGTTACATATATAGAAAGAGAGACGCGAAGCTAATGAAAGCGTGTTAAAAAAATAACAAGGTAATATTTGATGCGGATCTTAGCTACTTAATTTTCACAAGTGTAGTAGTCGTATGTATAGCAGTCGAGTTGGTGTGCAGTGTGTATGATGATGATGGTGATGTTGCAGGAACCCGTCGTCTGGATCGCTGACAGCATCCGCGTCGGAAAGCGGCTCGCTGGAGCGCGGGCGCGCCGCTCTTTCGCGCAAGCGGGCGCCCGCACAGCCCGCAGCGCAGCATCCGCAGCACGCGCAGCAGCCGCCCGATGACGCGCAGGTATGAGCCTCTCTCTGTTCCGTGCGCAGCCGGTCTATGGATATCTATTTGGTCGTGTGGGAGTAATAAGAGGCGATAGAGGGAAACTAAAACAGCAACGGGCAGCAGCAAAAAAAACTGCAGTGGCCAACCCGCGTGCTAAGCGTGGCCACTGTGGCAAATGTCCCTATGAGGCAATCTATGGGGGAGGCACATGTTCAGTAATGGACTTTAGTAGGCTGTAACGGTTAAACTATAAAATGGGAGGAGAATATTTTAAAACCATTCTTAAAAAAAATACAAGGTTATCAGACTAGCCAAATTTTAAACCTAAGTTCAAATGTGTAAATATATGTTTGATATGTTTGATTTTTTTTAATTAATTTTTCTTCGCCATTTGCCTACTTAAATTATTTATTTTGAACCTTCTCTGGAAATTTAGCCGGTTATTGCTAAATACCTCTGTATATTTAATTGACGTTAGTAAAATGTGCGAGTGTGCGTGTCTGCGTACACGTTCGTTTTCATGTTGAAATGCTCCGTTTTTATTGACTTTGTGTTATCTGTCAGCACGTGGTGTCGTGTCGCGTGGAAAATACGCGTGTAAACCCTGACTCACTGATCGACGAACTGCTCGCCGCCACTGACCTGAAGCAAGCCGTCGATGATGCCGCAGAGAGTGAGTACTAGTACTGATGTATAGGACTAGTCATATACATCAATTGAAGTTCTTATGTATTCTTTACAGATTCAGAAAAGAACATGTTTTCATTGCTGTAGTTTCTCAAGGACCTTCAATGGGACCACTTTTGTTCCTTCTATCCAATGATGTCGTGAGAGTGAATAAATTGTTTTAACTGTAAATAAATAAAAAACCAGTTTTCTCTTAGTAACAGCATTTTTTATTCACTGCTCGTTAACCGTATAAAGATCATTGCGAGAATGTGCCAACTACAGAATGTAATTGGAAAGATTTGCCTAACCTTGATGCGTTGGACAACAAGCTGGTTGATGGGCGTAGATACCGTTGCAATGGCGATGCGACCGACTGATGACTGAAAACATTAAAATCATTATCGTCATCAGCCTGCGATAGTCCACTGCTGGACATTGAACTCTCCCAAGGCGGGCCGCTTGTTAAGATTCGTGACATACACTTGTTTACACTACTGTAAGAGCGTTCACCAATCTGTCTGTCCAACATGGAATGTTTAAAAAATGTTTACCAGCAGGTACATCATCGAAATAGCGTTAGACTAAAAAGGCTGATGAAGAAAATTTTGAATGTGTCGAATGCATTGTAATGCAAGTATGTTGTGGTTATATCTGCAGCGTCGGGGCTGCAGCTGTTCATCACGCGCGACGGCACGGCGGAGCTGGGCTCGCGCCAGCGCCAGCGCCGCGACTACCAGCGCGTCGTGCTGCACCCGCACGACAACAGGCACGTACGCACACGTACACGTACACGCACACGTACACACCACGCGCAACTCTTGTACTCACTCAGTATACCTCTACGTTTTGTATATAAAATGTCTTACAAGGTAATATCATAGATACGCTCGAGATAGCCTGATATTACTAGTAACATGTCAGTAACAATTACCGATCCATTAAGATTTCTGTCGTTTTACATTGCTGTTCATCCGAAGAATTTCTGCATTTTATTTTTCTCTCTTATTTTGTGCAATAAAAAATTATCTAACTTCCATTAAAAAATAGAGTGGGAAAAGACGAGTTATTGAGAATTGGTCTTCTGTTCTTGTTTATTTTGTGCTCGTACACATGCGGCGATTTATGCCGGTTCTAAAACTAAATGCTAATTCTATACAATCGTCTATATAAAAGGTTGTTTTTTTTTTAAATTTATTGAAGGACTTGTTACTAAGCAACCACATTGTCCGTTCTGACTTTATGAAAACCACTACATTTAAATTATATATCACACTTATTTCTAACACTAATCCCACCAATATGACTAACATTTTGGCTTCCAGATCTACCAATGTGCAAATTCTTATCCATTCTGGGCACAAATAAGTTGAACATCAACTATTCTGCATAAGCCTTAGGCATATTATACCTTATGCCATAAGGTGTAATATGCCATAAGGTATTCGGTGATAAAACTTTTATCATCAAAAAGCAAACGTATTCGACGAAATGTGTCCTAAACGAATGTAAAAATTATTCTTCAAAACCAAGTTTGTGTTGTTTATAGCTGAATTGTTCTATACCATTTACTTTCCTTATGAGATCTTATGTTAAAATTTATTTGCCATAATGCACTGACCTTTAACAATCGAGCGTCTGGAAAAAAGTGTTACATTGTTAATGATTGAAGAGGTTTAACCGTAGAAATATGACCAAAATAATATGTCCCATTCCGCAGGTAGCCAACGGCATGAGAGAATGGCGTCAGCGCGCACATAGCACGCAGTACAAACTCGCCACCTGACCACATCGCAAGCGCGATACACTACATACACCTGCCTGCCCCTGTCCGGCGCGCCCCGGACCGACCCGATCCGGTCCGCTGCGGTCCGACGCCAGTTGCATGCAAGACTACCTGACGCGGCCCATGAACATGCGTCGCTGATCCAACTGATGCTTCATAATATACGGAAATTCTCAAAATTTTAGGCGTGGTTCACTTCACCAGAGTGAGCACGATTCGGATTCAAATGAGCAGAACATGAAGTTGCTTCTAAAGTCCTTTTTGAAGCATCGGTTTATTTGGCATCGTCAAAGCTTGCAGGCTTTACGGTTTAGTGAATAATATATTGACCAGTGGAAAGTGATTCGCAGTAATTATATCGGAATCGACCTCGGGTTCAGTGCCGAGATATATTCTAGCCGCGCTCGTAATATGGCGGACCATTGTAACGTTATGGACAGTATTATATAATTGAGATTTGCGCTGTGGCCTGGCGACGCCCAGTAGATGGCCAAATAAATTGGTTTCGTGAAATGGACAGATACGTTAAAGTTCCAAAAAAATTGTACGTAAAATATCGTGCACTTTGTCGTGGAATAAAACAAGATGGTGGGTTGGGATGTTGCAGGCTCTCAACAGCTAGATACGACTGCGTATAACTACACAATGCATATTTATTACTTCTATTATAATTTATGCCATAAAATGTTTTACAATTTGTAAATTTAATGTTGTTTTTATTATATTTCTGTAGTGATTTTATAAGAATGGTTGTGTTCGTGCAATCTGAGACGTTTTTGTATGGTTTACAAAGTTTTATTTTATCTTGTTAGTAGACATCTGTTCCATTTTCCTACCACCTAATGTTCCTAGCGTATGCGCTTCCTTCGCTCTCCACGCTTATCGCGATTTTAGTTCTTAAACCCAGTGTCTCTAAGTCCATTTTAAATAGCTGACGGTAGCTGTATTGACGATATTACGAATTGAGTATTTGTCACTAAAATGTATATAGAAATTATCCAAGAATATTATAGTTTTCATAGTTTTTACATGTATATTTTAATACTAAAAATCTAATTCAATTTAGAATGGAATGGCGACAAAATGTTTTAAGACATTACTAAAATTAACAAATTTAAATCATTGATGTAGTTATTTATTATTAGTGTCAACTACTCAATTGCGGTATACCTTTAATAATTTGTTGACACTAGTCTTGAGCCTCTCGTATGAAGTTTTGGCCTAAGTGTGTGTTTGTGTGAAACGTTTTAAACGCTGCCGTTAGTTTCTAGTTGAATATCACAATGAAGTGCTCACATGACTGGTGCTAAGTCAGTGTGTGTGTGTGTCTAGAATTAATTAATTGGTAATCGTTGTGAAAACTTACTTCCTGGTTTACGCGTTAGGTTTGACGACCGACGCTTTGTCCCATACAATACAACAAAACTTCCAATTCCCTCCATTTTTTTTTGTAACGTTAAGTAATCGAGGTGCCAAAGTTCTTTTACACAAATGGATGAGGGAAAGCTTAGTGTGTATGATACTTGTGACCCGATCATTTGCGCTGAAATTCTACATATAGGAAACCAATAAAAAATAAGCAGTATTATTTCATTTTATTTTGAATACAATTAGTTCTTATTTTCATCATATGCCTGTACACAAAATGTTAAAAGTCCCGAAAAATATTTCATATATTGCAAGATGAAATTTTTGCAATTCAAACACAAAAAAAGCTTATAACCGCGGTTTTATTTTGCATTATGCGAACTATTGACATCGATACGTCTGTATCGAGTACAGAATTAGTTACCAATTTAACTACCTGTAAATTATTTCATATAATCATTTCATATTTTTAAGTGATTAATACCTATTAAATTAAACTTTACTGATTTTATCGAAAAAGCCTGGAATGAAAGAGTTTAAATTAAATTCTATAAAATCCGTAAAATTAATTTTAATTATTTTATGTAATTCAAAATGTAAATGTATGTTATTTTCAGTGCTAAGATAATGTCCGGTATCATGCTAATGACAGTCACATTTGGCACGCGTGTATCGGATGTCTTGTTTTTAATAGTACGTAAAAGTTCGTAAGCATACGGCCCATTCCAATTTGTCGGATGTCGGATCCGACAAAAACTAGTGGAGGACATTTTGTATGAAACTGTTTAAGTTTATTCGACACTGCTCTTTTGTTGGCTCCGACAAGTTTTAGTCACCTCAGACGTACTTGTAACACTATTGTACGGATTAAGACATTGTATATTTCACATAAGTTGTATTTTTGCTTATCGCCTCTATTCCTACACTAGTCCGAAACTGGCGGTGGTCTTGTATTTGTCACTCTTTTAAAGAAATCCTAAGATCTAAAGAAAATATTCCCTCAAGAATTGTTAGCGCAAATAGGCTATTAATGATTTAACACAAAATCAGAGCAGCGTGCAGCAAGTCTCCCGGAATGTGTTTTAAAATACGATCCGACGTTTGACAAGTGGGAATGGGTCTGAACGGTGCGTGCGTGTTGTGCGACGCGTGCGCAGACGCGGACATGGGTGCGTGATCGTGTCGGGATGTAAGTTCTAATGCGAAGTCATTCCTTAGTGTTGGAAGCTTAGCGCGGCTCGCCACACCGACGGACAGACTGACATCTATATGATATAGATCATATACGTGAGATATAGGTCATATACGCACGTGTGTTCGTCGCGGTGGGCTCCGTGTGTATCGTTGCAAGCGGCGCGTATTGTTAGGTACCATAGACCATAGTCTCTTATATCAGCCTATACAGTATTGGACGGACGTTAGAGTTAAGCTCTGTTGTTTTATTTATGAATAAATTTGTGACCTGTATCACTTTGTTTCATTTTGTACCTGTTTTAAATCGACAAACTAATTTTATTGAAATCTGTATCAATTGAAAGCAGAACTCTTAACTCTATTAGCCGTTATATCTCTCCCCTGTGCAGTTCTTACTTTTAATGATGACAAGAATAAAAAATAATTACTTCGCAACCTTCCGCTAACTAAATACAATGATGTGTCTTACCTGGATTGAAGAGCACCTCCCACCCTCCCTCAATTGCATGCACTAACTCCGTCACCACTAGTCCCAGCACCACTACTCCCAGGCACTACTACTTCCAACACCACTATTCCAGGTAAGACACACCAACGATGACAATACGACACGTGTTTCACCTCTACACGTGGCATCCTCAAGTGATGTAGACTCTACGGCGACTGACCGCTAAGTTCTTAGCTTTATAAAATATTAATCAAGATAAAAAATTGGAGTTCTAACTCTTTTGATATTATTTTTTGATATTATGAAAGGCGTTATTGAAGTAGATTCATTATCGGATACGTTTTTATTTAGATTCTTTATTTCCTGTTAATAAGCAAAAACGTTTTAAATAGAGTAATTTTTGCCCACCAAGTGTGGCACGTATACTTCGTGCTTTTAAAATCCCTTGATTTATGTAAATCAGCTGGGCCTGACAACATACCTGCTGTTTTCATCGTGAGAACCGAAAAGTCTTGCAATTCCTTTGCCCTTTGCCCATTGGCGTTCTTTGTCAGAAGGTTTAATGCCAAAAATCTCGAAATCGGCTTATATCACATCAATTTATAAAAAGGGACCAAAAGATCAAGTTGACAACTAATGACCTATTTCCAAATTATGTCTATTTGCAAAATTACTTGAAAGAATAGTCTATGATCAACTATATACTGCCCTAAAACATACACTTAGCTTTCAACAACACGGTTTCGTCAAGGGTCGGTCAACAACCACTAATCTCATACTATGTATTGACTACTTATCGGAGCCCTCTCAAGTCGATATGCTCTGCAAAACGAATAGTAAATGCTTTGATCAAATAGACCATTTTTACTAGAGGTAATTTATACCTATCGGTGGTTCACCTCCTACGTCCAAAATCAGTCAGACAGTTCCCTAAATAGTTACACTTCTAAGTCCATGCCAATACCAACTGTGTCGCACAGGGCTCTTTGCTAGGGCCTTTACTTTTTAATATCATAGTTTATGACATCTTCAAATGTTTCAAGTACTCAAAAATCCTACTTTACGCCGATGATATGAAAGTAAAACATCCCTCGAAAGCGCATATCATTTGCAAGAAGACGAATAGGTTTGAAAATTACTGTCTATACAACAAATTAGACTTAAATATTTATAAATGCTATATTTGCACATACACGCAGAAGAGTAAACCTTTGTTTTTTCGCTACACTATAAAACATACAGATATAACTATGGTCAACAATATTCGCGATTTAGTGCTTTTTGACTCCAAACTACTGTTTAATGAACATATTGATAATATTATAAACAAAGGCTCTAAAGCGCTTTGCTTTATTTTAAGAATGTCTTCTGAATTCAATTCTATTGAAACCTTCTGGTTGCGCCAAAACGCACATTTGATTAACTGTATTAGCTGGCAATATTCTTCCTCTTCACTTCCGATTCCTTCCTGCACGGGCACGCCCAATGAGAGACTAGACATGGTGGCGTGATTCTGTTCGGCCAATGAGATGCGCTGGCCAGAAGTGCACTTTCCCACAGCAGCTCATGCTCCTGTCATGCCAGCTAAATATAGTAAATTATATTATAGGTGTATCCGGCATTTTGTTGGGATTATAGCCCACCTCGCTAAATACAGTCCACTTTCATTATTCTCGCACCCAATAGTTTGTGGCCATTGTTCCCGGGAATCGAACGCGAGAGCCCTGTGGCCCAGCCATTTTATGGTTCCTTCGCTCCGGATACGAAGGGCAACCTAGTCACCCTCACCATTTAGTGACCATACGTTTCCGGATTCTAGCGCAGCATCATATATCGCTCCACCAACTTCAAAATTCTTTCCTGAGCTTTCGTACGAAGTCATCTAGAGTATGCCTCTCAAATATGGAATCCAACTTATAATATTTATTCTACCCGTATTG